AATACTTCATCTAGTACCTTTTTTAGGACCTTTACATGTATCATTAAATACTAGAGAATCAACAATAAAATTATATCACCCATTTTTCAATTTATTATATAAGAAAATTCATATCAACGAAGTTAAACCACCAAAAAAATCTTTAGACGATGAAGATGCCCCAAAGTGGCCATTCTATATTGGAGTTTTTGGAAGATCAAACACCGGTAAATCCAATATGGTGTTATATCTCTTTTCCAGAGATAAATACTATGATATGAAAATGAAAAAAAAACAAATTGGTGAACGTCACATACGATGTAATGATATTGTATTAGTAGGGCACAATACCAATGAACCCAAATACCGATTACTTCGAAATTTCTATAAGAAAATAGCAGATCCTTCCAAACCGTACTATGAGGACGTTACATTTACTGCATTTACACCTGATAAAATTCCAGATCTAAAGCAGTACAAAAATCCAAAAAGGCGTACAGTATTTATTTTTGAGGATTTGTGCACTGAACCCCAATCAATTCAAAATCGTATCATCCCATTTTTTACCAGAGGTCGCCATAGCAATATTTCCGCAATATATATTTCACATAAATTCACTCAAATGCCAAAAATCCTTCGTGAAAATTCAACCCATCTTGTATTATTTGATGGTGGGGGATCTACAGAAGATATTGCACGAATTATAAGACAATACATAGAAAAAGATCCACGCAAAGCTTCTAGAGTTATCAATAACTATTTGCGAAATCGTGAATTCATTGTCTTCGACACCACTGTACCAATCTCTGATCCTATGTCCATCAGAGTCGGATGGATGAATCCTCTAGATCTGGAAAAAGAGATCAAGTTATTGACCGCATAATAAAGATATGTGTCTCAACACTGGCTTCGCTATACATTATTATCGAGAATTTTTAGTGAAACTAGCTCCGCTAAGCTTAAATAACGTATCTTCCGCCTCCTGCAGTTGCAACTTCATTTTCTCAATCTCAAATCGCAATTTCTTATTTGCATTAACCTGTTCCTCATAATCTCTAGTGACGCCTTGCATGAATTTTCCAAATGTATCTACATTATATTTAAGCAATTGCTGATGAAAAATATTAAGCCCTTTTTTGACCCGACGATTAATCTCTTCCTCATGATCACGCATACAAATTGGAGTAATATTTATTTTGGGAGAAATGGCACTTTGTGCCTGGGTCTGAGTTTCCTTATTGTTCATATCTATGTTATATATATATGATAAATTTTCAAGTAAGGGTTTCCGACGCTGTCGTTGTTTTCTATTCTTATAATTCAGAATTTCACGATCAATCTTTTTTTCTATTTCCGGATAAATACCACTAGCTTGTTCTATAGTAATAGGGTATTTCCCTATTGTGAGGCTTTTCCATATATTCCATTGTATCGATGGGCAAAGTTCAGTAAGTTTACCCAAATAATATGGATTGAAAGGAGGATTTCCCATGAGTGGTATAGTATTATTATGAAATAAATAATTCTCAAAATTCCAGGAATTTGAAAAATACAGAACAAAAAAATACCATTAATCCCTAGTGATAATCTAGCATGAATTTTCCAAACGTCTCCTGAGCAATTGCTGAGATAAAATATCGAGCCCTTTCTTAACCCGATGATTGATTTCCAAAAGTGTACCCCGAAGTCGATCATCAACACTTGTGGACGATGATCATGATTGTTACATTTTGGAAGGAAGTCAAATCATTGGTGATGATGATCACGATTACTATGTGTCGGAGTCTGAATACACACGCCTGAAAATCTGACTTTTGTGCCCGGTCATTGATGGGGTGTAAGCAAAGTGAAAAAATAATGATTTATGGAATATATATATATATATATAATCTTTTAAGAATCTAAACCATGTGTGGTTAATCCAATTTTAGGGTTCCCTGCATATAGTCGCACAAGACATCAACTGACCATATTTGCACGATGTAGATGTTCTATGAACTTAGCCAAATTAGTTTGATGACATGAAATCTAGATGTTGCAAAATAAGTAACAATATTTTCAGTTTACATGGGAATCTGGTACAAAAAAAAGATACCAGCCCTCAAGGGGTATCGAAACATTGAATAAATAAAAGATACCAGCCCTCAAGGGGTATCGAAACATTAAATAAATAAATAATTGATATGTTATAAATTGCTAACTTGGCGCATTTCTGCTCGAATATTCTGTAAGCACGCATAATGCAAAGCGAGTTCAGTCACCATCAATCCATCTGGGTGATAAATCCACTCTACGACCTTCCTTTGTATTTTAACACATGCTTGGATCTTTTTTCCAACTTCTCTTGCACGTTTGATCCTTCTAATTGCATTTGTCATCCACAATTCATAGCGACGTAATGTATAACTGTCATCGTATTTACACACAGATTTAGGTTTTTGTGTGATTTTTTGGTATTCTTCATAACTCACACCACAATATTTATTTCCAGTACAATGAGTGGCCCAATGCTTTTCCATTCCAATATGATGATAATTATTACCCATATTTTTAGTCATTTCTCCGATATATACTAGTTGATCACAAGAGAAACAGATCGCCATTCCAATTGCAGGTGCGTAACTACACCACCTCATATTTAGTTCTGACCACCATTCTTCTAGCTTCCTAGCTTCAAGATATTTCTTCCTCCCTCCAGTAGGTAAAAGGTCGTTATCTCTGAAATACTGCAAGCGAGACCAAATTCAATCTTTCCACTCACCAGGAGTTTCATTGGTGTGAACTTGGGGCATCTGGCAATATTCAGTCCATTCATCATCACTGCATTTAGAACCAGAATGAGCTATTAATCTGCTAAAATTATCCATTTATATGACCTATTTATATAGTATGTTATAAGTGTATATGATTTAACGAGTTATAGTGTATTTAGGGTTTTAGACCTATTAATTTTATCAATTATATATATATGTATATCACAATTCATTTTTGTGCAAATTCTATTTGAATCATTTTATCGTATTTTGTAAGCGATTATGGGGTTTGAGCGATAAATGGTAAAAAATCGAGATATTAATATGCAGAGCATAGAGTCTTAGACTCATATATATATATATAGTTGAATGTTCCACAAGATAATTTCTGTAACACTGCTAAATTATTTCTCACTATATGGAATTAATAAAGCCTTTTCCTTATTGTATATAGCTTTACCGATAAGAAAAAATACAAATGGGACCCAAAAAGGATATGAATGAGGAGAGTCTATTGTTCTTTATCAGTAATAATATCAAAATTCATATGTTACGGAACTTGAGATCCGAGATCGCCAAAATTTCTCTTATTTTACACTTTGAATGAGAGATCGCCAGACTGGAAGGTTTAATTTCCCCATAAAAGGCGAAATATATTTAGTTCTTGACACCCATGACTTAATAGACCTGCCTTATGAAGAAAGATCCGAGAAATGATCAGGTAACGTAATTACTAATGTTTTTCTTCTAACAGGTTTTCAAGATTATCAAATGAAACTATAAATAAACTGGATTTCTGAAGCATCATTTTTTATCTTCCTGCAATTTTATAAGGTACGTACCACCATCCATTATGTATTATTTATAAGTGAATTTTTCAGTATTCACTAGCAAAGTGTAACTACACCTATATAATCGAAATTCTATTTACTATGTGTCTTTATTTTTAGGAAATGCAAAATGTCTAATGTATTTGATATCGATCTCAATTGTCTTATAATTCCTATTAATGGCTTCCATGCCTTTCCGAATGATAGAGTCAAATTCACAATTCGTATTTCTAATGGATCAGGGGTCAATAAATTACTGGATATGGTTCAGCGTCAGTTAGATGTATTTACTCATGTTTCTTACCAGCTTCGTGCATTTTCTCCTAGAGCTATAGGATACAACACCATGCAAAACCATAGTAATATTGTATTTCATTTTTCAGGAATCCCCGATCCAAATATTATTCATGTACTCATATACTCAGTATCAGAATCGGAACCAGCACCTGCAATTACATTAAAAACCAAAGGATAGCGGAGCTAGTGTCTCTGACACATAAATAATTAGATTTTTTTTATATTTGTATTCGCATTATTATTATGTAATAGCGATATGTATTTTTTATTTCGTACAATAAAGCAAGGTTCTATGTAACCATTTGTCTCAATCAGAATTATGTGGATGTTCATGCTTTATTTTCATTAAAATCACATGCGTTCCACTTTGCTAGAAAAAAAAATTGAATGTGTCTAATACTTTGATATAATACATCATTATACATAGGATATTAATATGTCTTGCAAATCCAGAAATAACAGGCGTAAAACTCAAGGTAAATTTACCACGAATCCTACGCAGTATATACAATTTAAGAATCTGATTAAATATATGCACGTCATAGAAGGTGAAAATATAGTTATAATTAATAGGAATACGCAAGATACAAAGGCAGTATTCAACTATGAAGAGGTATGTAGATATCTCAAAGCGAATAATCTCGATTCAAATATTCTCAGCATGTAGTGGAAAATTATCGGATATGTGTAATAATTAATTAGCTTATTTTTTCCAGAAAAATTGGTGATCATTAATGTAAGAGTAAATTCAATTATACATGCGAATCAACTTTCCAGGTACATAAAAAAAATATGACAATTAGTTTTCTTCATAATGCATTGAGTTTCTTTTCCGCGTCTTACACATATTAAAAATGTGTACAAAAAATATATCGACTAATTTATTAATAAACAGATATACATATATGACAACTTGATAACAACTGTCTATTTTCTAGGGGGAACTGACAGTTGAACTACTTTCTTCTTTTCGACTCGATTTATTAGATGGAGGCGCATTATATAACAAACTAATATTAACTAACAGAATATTCCGTAAAATTAATAAAGATTCCACAAAGTTTGCTACCATAGATGAAGTCGAATGTTGGACTGGTATTTCTGCTTCATGGAGATGGTAATAGCGATGCACATCATGTAAATCCCTAATAAGAACATTTAAATATATTTTTCTTCCCGCTATTTGTACTCCAATTATTCCAAATTCATTCTTGATAGGTTTACAAGTTTTGCGGACCCAAAACATGCCATCGTTTGCCTCTCTCCATAGTTTTACCCCATCATCACTTTCTTTTTGCACTGTACACGATAAACGTGAGCATTCAGTGTAGACCAATTCATAGTCTTTATCCCTATGTCTTATTACGAACATAATATCGGGTCGCTTTCCTGATTGGCCACCCCCTCTCCTATCTGCACTGGCACTACTCTGTCGTTCAAAATTGCTAAGAAATGAAGATCTCCATAAAGGAAGACCTTTTAACGAGGCACAAATTGCAGGCAAGATTATATTAGTAACATAAGTACCTTCATTTAATTTTTCTACAAAATTGGACCTAAATGCAGGGTTTATCCAAGCATCGTGCCTAATGATAAGATTATTTAATGAGTATATTCTTTTAACAGAACTCCCAAAACTCGATAATTTTATATATCCAGATTGGAATACTCACAATGTATCTAGAATCCTTTCAGCAACGTTGGCAAGTTCTTCATTTGTTTCCTTCCACATCCCATCGTGTAAAAGCTTTTGTGGTAATCTGAATCCAATATCATCGGTAAAATTTTGCACAAATTCATTACATTTCCTCTGCACTATTGATGGAAGGGAGGGCGTCATACGCTGAAGCGGTTCCTAATAAATTAATGTTTTGTAATGCTTTTTGTGAGTAATTCAATGAAATAATATGGAGATTCGATCTGGTGCTGATCCTATCTTCCCAGGAAAATCAGACCTTACGAGTTTATAATACCAACCATAAATATATTTCGCAATTCATCTGGCAAGAGACGTATAATATCTGAATCATCACTAATAATTTGATTTGCCAGAGGGTCATTCCAAGGAAGTTCTGAAACTGTGACCTCCCCAATTCTCCTATACAATTCCAAAGATAGCGCCGATGTGTCTTTTTTCAATTTTCTCTTCAACTTAATTATATTTTCCGAGATTTCTTCTGAATTAAGGATTTCCTCATCTATTGTTACTGCTCCGATATTTTTCAAACTACGAACGATTTTGTAAGAGACTTTAAACTAGTGCAGATATAAATTGTTAGTTTGGAATTCCAAATTAATGCTGAAATATTTCAAAGGGCGCATGCGCTGTCAGATTATAACCAAAGCTCTCTCTTTGTGAGGTTAGCTACTCCATCACGCGGATAGAACTTTGTGTGATACTAAATTATCAACATAAAACCAAGCATAGGCTTTCAACTTAAACATTCCTCCCCCGGTGAGGAATTTCCTGGCGTGGGACTAAATGGAATGCCTAAGCTGACATGTTTGTTTTTTCAGAGGTATCACTTCTGCACTTCATCATTCAAAAATATTAATATAGATATATCTTTAATGACTTACTTCTGAGAGAATTTCAAGTAGAGTCACATATAGAGGCCTGCAAATGGGACCCAACCTGGCCCGGACCCGCATTGCGGGTTGGGTCCGGGTGGACATAATTAATGAATGCGGGTTGGACCCGGGTTGATAATGTGTTAAAGGATTTTCTATTCAAATAAAATGAATAAAACAAGTAATTTGAATAAAATGAATAATTGAATAATTCAAATAAAATAATTTTGAGATTGAGTTGTATTACAAATAGAAATTTTGTGAATAATTATTTATTCACAAGAAAAAAAATATTAACATTGTAACAATTTAAACTTTAATCAGTGAATAAACAAGGAAATAAACTAAACATTAATGTAAAACAAATTAACTTTATGTTTTTACTAAATATGTCTAGAATATTTATATAGATAAGATTATCTGTATTTCTTATCATTATAAATAATAGATATTTATTTTAAGAATAAAAAATAACCACAATTAAAATATTTGTTTGTAAGAGAGGTCAATTTGTTTTTTTTTAAGTAATTCCTTACAAACATTCAAACAATGACAAGTGACTTATCAACAAATGAAATATTGACTAAATTAAGGGCAGAAGAGTTATTTTATAGAGACAAAAATGTAAATAGTGTAAATAACAATAATGTTAAAAGTGAAGTTTGGCTGAGGTTTGTTGAAATTGTAGATGCAAATAATAAATACATTGGATATGTTGCTTGCAAGAATTGTGATCAGATATATAAATACAACTATAAGGATGGAACATCTAGTTTGAAACGCCATGTATGTCGTCGTGCATTAAACAATCAACCAAAAATTACTTCTTTTATAGAAAATAAAATGGTTCCAGCAATTGCTAAAGAAACTACAGCAAAAAAAATCATGGAGTTTGTTTGCAAAGATTTACGTCCATTTGAAATCATCAACGGTTCTGGGTTTCGTGAGTTTGCACAAGAAATGATAAATATTGGTTCTGTACATGGATGTATATCAATTGATAATTTGTTACCACACCCAACAACTGTATCTAGAAATGTAATAAAAGCAGCAGAATCAATCAAATCATCATTGGCTGGAAAATTGACTGACATTTTTCAAAAAACTGGTGGTGCTTTTACTACAGATTTATGGACGGATGATTACAATAAAATTAGTTATATTTCATTAACTGTTCATTATATTGAGAATTGGGATTTGAAAGATCAAGTTCTAGCTGCTGTTAAATTTCCTGAAGACAATCATACAGCTGAAAATACTAGAAGAACTGTCTTTAATATATTGAGAGGGTATAATCTTTCTCCAAGTGTTAATATGAAAAGATATGCCTTTGTAACTGATTCTGGTTCTAATTTTGTTGCTGCTTTTCGTGCCTATAACCACTTAGCCTGCTTAGCTCATAGGTAATTTTTTAATTATTTAATTTTTTTCTTAAGTTGTATTTTTTTTTTCAATTAAAATGTATTTTATGCTTAGGATTAATACAGTGTTAGATACTTCCTTCAAAGAAAACAATTTTCAATTATCTTCTATAATAAATACAATTGATGGTTGTAAATCATTAGTTACATTTTTTAAACAAAGTTCTTTGTATTCCAAATTGGAAAAAACGCTCAAACAAGAATCTAAAACAAGGTGGAACAGTAAATTAGAAATGCTTGAATCTGTTTATGACCAATTTGAAACAATTTATAATCTTCTTGAAGAAAGAGATGAGTTGTACAGACTTGAAGATGTGGATTTGCAAACATTAGAAAATTTAGTAATATTCCTAAAGAAATTTAAAGAAGCAAGTCAATGTCTAGAAGCTTCTAAACAACCTACATTACATTTAGTAATTCCTTGGTATAAATCATTATTAATGCACTGTCAAATAAATCCATCTGATAATGAGACCTTAAAGCAAATGAAAGAAGTTGTTGCTGAAAAAATCATTGAAAAGATTATAATAAATGATTTACATAAATTAGCCATTTTTTTTGATCCACGCATGAAACAGTTAAAAATTTTAGATCCTAATGATGCTAATTGGGTAAGAAGTGAAATTAGAAGTCAATGTTTTGATATATCAATTCAAAATAATAATGGTGATGATAATGATAGTGATAATAATCCTAATAATGAGATTAGTGGAAGAGAAAGATTGCCAAAAAAATCAAAAAAATCAAATATGAATTTTTTAGATTTCAGTCAATATTATGATTCAAGTGATGAAGATGAAAATAATACAGATGAGATTGATCAGTATTTATTATTGAAAATACAAAAGGATTCAGATTTAGATATATTACAATGGTGGAAGGATCATCAACTCCAATATCCAAAGCTTGCAATATTAAGTGCTTATTATCTTTCAGTTCCATCTTCTAGTGCATCAAGTGAGAGAGAATTTAGTGCAGTGGGATTAACTATTAATCAGCTTCGTACAAATTTAAACCCACAAACAGTAGACAGTATACTTGTATTACGAAGTGCACTTTAATAAATGTTATTTTTATATATAAATACAATATTAATAAATATATATATTAACATAGCATGTTAAATATAGATAATACGTTAAATATTAATATGAAAAAAATAAAAATTTTTTTGATCCTTTATAAAACTGGTTGATGCGGGTTGGTGCGGGTTGGTCTGGGTCCGGGTTGGTAATTGGAAATTTTTTTGTGTACGGGTTGGGTCAGGGTTTAGAAATTATGATTTGATACGGGTCCGGGTTGGGTTGGGTTTAGAAATTATGATTTGATGCGGGTCCGGGTTGGGTCCGGGTTTAATTATATGGCAAATGCAGGCCTCTATACCAGATGACTTACCTGAATAAAGTTAAACCCTAGAAGCTTCTAAACAACCTACATTACATTTAGTAATTCCTTGGTATAAATCATTATTAATGCACTGTCAAATAAATCCATCTGATCATGAGACCTTAAAGCAAATGAAAGAAGTTGTTGCTGAAAAAATCATTGAAAAGATTATAATAAATGATTTACATAAATTAGCCATTTTTTTTGATCCACGCATGAAACAGTTAAAATTTTTAGATCCTAATGATGCTAATTGGGTAAGAAGTGAAATTAGAAGTCAATGTTTTGATATATCAATTCAAAATAATAATGGTGATGATAATGATAGTGATAATAATCCTAATAATGAGATTAGTGGAAGAGAAAGATTGCCAAAAAAATCAAAAAAATCAAATATGAATTTTTTAGATTTCAGTCAATATTATGATTCAAGTGATGAAGATGAAAATAATACAGATGAGATTGATCAGTATTTATTATTGAAAATACAAAAGGATTCAGATTTAGATATATTACAATGGTGGAAGGATCATCAACTCCAATATCCAAAGCTTGCAATATTAAGTGCTTATTATCTTTCAGTTCCATCTTCTAGTGCATCAAGTGAGAGAGAATTTAGTGCAGTGGGATTAACTATTAATCAGCTTCGTACAAATTTAAACCCACAAACAGTAGACAGTATACTTGTATTACGAAGTGCACTTTAATAAATGTTATTTTTATATATAAATACAATATTAATA